AGTGAGACCATGTAGGTTAGGCTTGGATTTGGTCATGAAACTTGCCATGAAAATGACCTAGAATTCAGCTTTGGGAGGCCAACTTCATCTCTTCGAAAATCGTAGCTCACATATGATAAATTCATGTTCTTGGACTCTTTGAAAAGCTTGAAACATCCTCTACAACTTTAATGTTGACCACTTTCCTTGAATCAATTAGGATCATAGTGAAAAATGTTTGCCAAGTCAGTTACTTGACAAGGTCAAAAACTATTGAAAATCTCACTGTGTTTTTGTTCAAAAGTGAGTGGATCCTCCACTTCATGGCCTCATATCTCTTTATACATGCATTTTTTGGAATCCATCCCATAGGAGAAAGTTGAAGTATGTAATAAGATCTTTAGTTTGGTCTTTGGAGCAAAGAAAATGGTTGCTTGTGGAGAAAGTTATGAACTTGGAAAGTTGGGCAAAAATCATGATATTTCTTAGAAAAAATCAAGAAACCCTAATTATCTCAAATTATGTTCTTTGGATGTTTCCTTTGATTTTCTTGATTGATCATGATCCAAGTCACATAATCTCATGATCCTTGACTTGAGGAGTCCATGTTTGACCAAATATCTCAAAAGTCAAACTTTATTTTGATCACAATTGACTTTTCATTTGATGATCTTGAATTCTTCCATTGCTTATGAATCAAACTTTTTGGATCAATCCAATCATATGAATGGACTAATATGATAAATTTGAGATCCTTGAAACATATCTTTATGTGTTGGATCATGCATGGCTTCAAAAGTTAACCTGGGGACTAAATTAGGTCAAAAACCCTAATTTGATGATCAGATAAATTTGGGGCTTGTTGATCTTGATTCAATGCAATCTTGAACTTGATTATTGATGAGAAGAGACCCTTAAACATGTTGGATGAATTAGGAATTGAGAGATTGAGGATCCCATAATCTTTTGACTAGTCAATTCTTGAACTTTTTTAGAGCAAGGTCCTAGGTTATGATCAAAGTGGAAAAAAAACACATGTTCTTGAAATGTCAATGGGTTAGTAATGTATAAAACACACACACACACACACATGGGATGATGGGTGTCATGAAAAATGATACAAATGAGGTGGAATCTTAGGGTTAAAAATTAGGGTGCGACACATGGCTTAATAATATTCCAGAGATATATCTCCGGAGTAATTTAAACCTTAAACGATAACAACATATCTCTCATAACCCATTTCCATTTGAATTTATCTAGAGATGCATTTACGAAAATTTTCCAGAGATACATCTCTGAAGTGTTTCAGAATTTTTTTAAACGCATTGTGTATTTGCTCGCGGATGAATTATAAAATAACAGACACACCAAAATAACATAAAAATATAGTAATAGGATGTCATATGTCACGTAAATCCAAAATGTAATAACAATGTCAGGAAAAACGTACAAACTACAGTACTGAAACAAAATAAATATAGACAACTATTGGGTGTGTCTGACAACCTCTCTTCTGCCTCTTGTGTTTGGTCTACCTCCTCGATCATCGATCCCCCATGTCCTCGCGCGATGTCTGTGGTACAATATTGCCCCATGTGCTTCCGCAATAATGTCATCCAGTACTCATCTGGCAGCAGACCCCTTAGGGAAGATACCTTCGGCAATGCTTGTCCACGCCATCTCCACTATGCAACGATAACAAGGCAAGACATCATTAGTATGATTAATATAAGACTGCTGATCCTCTAGAATCTCCTGATGAGCAGGTCTCGGTGGATCTTCTAGAGAAATCGACACCATGTACGGATGTGAGGCCCTGAAGAACCACATGATGTAACCGTCGACGTAGCTCCAATCATTCGGCGCTATGGTAGCTCGAGCCTCATCTGGTACTAGATGACTCTAATAATTAGAAAACATCTCCTCTATTTGGATATGAGTCAAGGTTGGAGGTGCAGAGACAACAGGGTGTCTGAGGATGGCCTGGGTGTATCCGAACTGCCCCATGACGCGCTCATGCAGATGAAGAGTAATGGTCGTCGACAAGCAGGCCAACCATCTGAAGTATAGTCATATATCGTCAAATGGACGTGTTTGACGGTGATTAATGTAGCAGTTGAAGTGGATGTCCTCAACAACCAAGCGGTCAAGATAGACTCTGAAAGGCTCGACCGCCTGTTTCCCTCTCAGCAGGATAAAAAGACAGGCACATGGCATCTTCTTAGTGTACTCATCCCAACACAACCAGCCAGCGATACGCGGGAAGTGCTGGAGGATCCAAGCCTTAAATAAATATAAAAAGAATTCAGGGATCAAGAATTATCGCAAATATGAAATAAAAAAGATAAAAAATAATTAAGCATAAAAAATTATTACCATCAGTAGGGTCGTGTTGCATATGGTCTGCCTCGTCATCCATCGACATCCATCTCTCAGCTTCAAATATAGATAGGCTAAGCAAGCCACCCCTAGTTGTACTCATGGATTCGTGTGAGATTCAATAAGTATCGGAGGTATGCAACGTCAATGTAGGTGGCACTCGTATCCACAAAAAGAACATTGTCAACTAAAAATAGAAAATAACACCTTAAAGTATGACTCATGTGGATCTCCACCTCCTATGCATCACCACCGGCCTGCGTTGTAGCAATGAGTGCATCTCTTCTTCAAGAATGAAAAGCTAACATGAGCACCCCTAGTTTTATCCATCTCCTTCAACGCCTTCCCTGGATGAGCCCCTAGATGATCCATCATCATATTGACCGTCTCTTCTTTAGTCATCCTACCATGATGGAGAAATCTCCCTTTGATCAGTAGATGCAACAAACACGAGACATCATCCAGTGTAATCGACATCTCACCGTGCGGGAGATGAAAGGAAGAGGTCTCAGAGTGCCATTGCTCCACAAATGCTCTCATCATCCCGTGGTTGACCAAAGTGTAACTGGTCAAGCATAGGTCACTCAACCCAGAAGCAGTAAGAACGACTGAAACCACTCTACATCAGGTCAATGCAATGCTAAAATCTTCCTTCCATGGTTCAGAAACTTCTGGGGATCACGCACATACGAATTTCCAAAAATAATCAATGTCGGCAAGAATCAATGTTAGAAATAATCAATGTCAGCAATTTAAATTAATGTAAATAAGTATAGTAATGATGTGACTAATGTTACCTCTCTGTCTCAGATATGTCTGGCAATGTGGTTTGGGTATAAAGGAAGTAGGAACATATCTGATGGACCCCCTCCGAAAGCCTCTAGCTCGACATTAGCAACATCACCCTCCGAAGGTGGCACTGATGCATCACGATCAACATGTGTGATCGGTTCAACAGGAGGTGGCACCGGATCAATAGGAAGTGGAACATGTGCATCTCGCCGCCTGCGAGAGGACGGAGGAAGTGACACGTCAGCTGATGCATCAAGTGGTCTGCGGGAAAAAGATGAAGAAGGTAGAGTGGGTTGAGACGTAGATGGAATGGCCTGATATGTAGCTGGAGTGATCTGAGATGTAGATGGAGTGCCTTAGGTGAAGGTTGAACCACAAGAGTGAATTGTGCCTTAGGAGTAGAGTGTACATCATCAGTCTATGCCTCTCCCTGACCAGAGGTACCTGCTGCATCTAGACCCGGCTGGCTCCGTTCTCGTCTAACGGATGCGTGCTAGGCAGCTCATCCATGCCTCAATTGGTCGGCTCTGTCAGCCATTATGCCTGCAAGATATAATATAATTAATCGTATAATGAGTTTACGAAATAAGAAAAATTATAAAACAAAAGAGAAAAAACAGACTGAGAAAATTCTAGAGATACATCTCCGAAAAAGTTCAATATTTCATGTACTCTAGGTGATTCCGGATATACAACTACGGAAATATTCCGCAAATGTATCTCTGGAATCACCCAGAGTACATGAAACATTGAATGTTTTTGGAGTTGTATCTCTGGAACATTCTGCAACTCAGAGGTCGCGCCAATGACGTCCTCTACCCCTCAGAATGACAAATTTGAGGCTCTGATCGTCCTTTGAGCCAACAAACAATACATGCAGTTACTCTAAACTATGTCTCATCTAATTTCTAAATATTTTGACACCTAACAATGTAGTCTAATTCGTTTACAATAAAACTCGAATATTTATCGGAAACTCAGAAAATTTACTTGAATTATATGATTCAGAAGATGTTGAATGATGCACTGGATGCAACTTGATGATTACTTGATTCTCGGACGGAAGAAATCAAATTTGGTGAAATTTAAGAATGAGAGAGATGAAGAGGTATGAGAGTAGAGATGAAAAAGTATGGGAGGAGAAGAGTCTGGGGCAACAATATGCTCCAAATTATTCCGGAGATATATCTCCGAAATATTTTAACGTTTAATTGATCTTTGGTGTGTTTGGAGATATATCTCCGAAATACCTTAATGTTTAGTTAAAATAAGGTGCGTCCGAAGATATATCTCTGAATAACTAGGGACATTATAGAAAATCCGCATGGTGTCTAAGAAACATATATAGTGCTTCAAGAAATTCTCTTTAATTAAATAGACTTATAAAAAAACTAGACATTTTCTATTTAAAAAAAACTTTATCTAACATTTGTTTGTGTAAGTTAGACCGTAAACCTTATTAATTGATCTGATCTATTCACATCCCTAATTTATTCTTAGACTAAAGAATAACTAGACAAATCATAAATGACAATTATGAGTACTTGACAAACAAAACTTTATACATTCAAATATTCTCCATATTATTTTTCTGTTACAATTATTAGCTGCCAAGTGGAGCTACTATGTATTAATAAAAAAATGAAAGTTAAATAATTTAATATAGATTTTGATACTTTTTATGACTATCCTAATAGTACATTTAACCGATTCCGTCTTTTATACACTGAAAAAACTGCACTTTTCAGAAGTATGGTACTAATATCCATATTGTTTCCTTTATAAAGCCAAGGTTTTTGCTTCTGTTGCATTGAAAAACAAAGCCAAAAAAAAGCTGAATTTCTTTAATGGCTCTACCAACTTCTCCTACCAATTTCTTTCTCCTCCTAATTCTTCTTGTCTCTCTATTTCACACGCCCACTTTTGCACTGAAAAAAAAGGTGAGACATTTCTTCAAATTTCTATTTGCATTAATATTTGAAAAATTAAACTTAGAAAATCACTTCTAATCTTTACACCATTTTTTTGTTGTAGTCATATGTGGTTTACTTAGGAAGCCATTCACATGATTCAGAATTGTCTTCAGTTGAATTCAACCGTGTAACAGATTCTCACTATGAGTTTCTAGGATCTTTCTTGGAAAGGTATTCTTATTATTTAAACGAAACCATATATTATATAACTTTTGTTTTGTTTTCTAACTAAGTTTCCTTTGTTGTAGCTCTGATGCAGCAAAAGAGTCTATATTTTACTCCTACACAAGACATATCAATGGTTTTGCCGCAACTTTGGAAGAACAAGTAGCAGCTCAGATAGCAAGTAATAATTCAGAAATTTCCCCCATGCTTAATTTTTTCTTTCTCGGTTCTCATAATATATATAATCTTTTTTGTGAAAATTACTTTGTTGTAGAACATCCAAATGTGTTGTCAGTGTTTGAGAACAATGGAAGAAAACTACACACAACTCGTTCATGGGGATTCATGGGATTAGAAGATGATTATGGAGTCATAACATCCAACTCAATATGGAACAAAGCAAGATTTGGTGAAGGTGTCATCATAGCGAACCTTGATACAGGTCACTTTCCTTATTATTTTTTTTGAAATTTCATATTTCAAAGATAGTATCACTACCAATAACAATTTAGAAATCTTTGTAATAATTGATTATTAATAATAATTCTAGATCGTTGACTGATGAACACATGTGACAGATACTGCTCCCCACACAGATAACGTTCAAATCAAAATTTGATATTTTGTTGGTTGAAAAGGTTGAATACATAAGATTAGTATTAGTATATTATTTGTTTGAATCTGGCCGTCATAAAGAGCAAAGAATATTGATTTTCTATTCACAACGTATGAACGTTCTTGTCTGATATTTTAGAAAAATTGTTGCATCTTTTGTGGTTGGAAGAAATTCATAGAATAAGGTTACGAAGTGCACATTGAGACATTGACACTCTTAATTTTAAAAATATAGGACACTCACACTAATACCTATATTAGTATTTTAACTCTTTACTTATCTATTTTTTAAAAATTAATGTTTTAATTCTTAACTCAAAACATTACATAAATACATAATTTTAGATATGAGAATTATCCCAAAAAATATACCATATGTTGAAGTAAAGATGAAAAATATTTTGAAACATTATCAACTATCTCTGCTATTTGACATGTACATATGATATCAGTGTCATACGAATATCAGATAATTATTAAAACACTTGTTTAACTTTTCTAACATTTTTTTACTTTTTCAATATGTCAAGTATCGGACAGCGACGAATATTGAAGACTGAGATGCGCCCACTTCTTGAGTTGACGTGTGCGTGCTATATTTTGTGACACAGGATGTTGCAAGTATATCACTAGAATAATCATTAATTCTTGATTGGAAGCAAAGGAATACAACTATTATGCTATGAATAAAACAAAAACTCGGGTGTGGTGATGGATTATTCCAATGAGGATAAAACCAATAAGAAAATTGTTATGTGGTTACATCAGCTTAATAGTTGGTATTCAAAATTTTTCCAAACTGTAGCTGTCTGTAAAATCAAAATGGTTGGGTAATAGGACCATCTAGAATCTAGATAGCTTTAAAGCCAATAAATGTGGATGTTTTATTTGGAAGTGTAAATTTTCCAATTTACTATATTCTTGTTTCTTTCTTACTTGTTATCTTATAATTTGGTCCCACTCTATTTTATTCTCTAGGTGTTTGGCCTGAATCAAAGAGCTTTAGTGATCAAGGGTTTGGACCAATTCCATCTAAGTGGAGAGGAATCTGTGAAAAAGGTTCTGATCTTGCTTTCCACTGCAACAGGTACCTTCCAAATGCATCTTCTAATATATTCTTTTTCTTTCTTTCTTATCTATTTAAAACTAGATGTTTTTCTTATTACTTTATGTGTGATAAAGTCTATGTTTTTCTTTTTATGACATAATCATGATTCATACCTTAAGGGAACATTCAAATCCTTATTGTAGCCACAGAAAGATATTCAATTTTATTGCCATAATAGAAACAAGAATGCTAAAAGTAACATTTAGTTTGAGGTTTGAAAGAACTTATGTAAAAACAAACTAATAAGTGTATGGACAAAACAGGAAACTAATTGGGGCAAGGTATTTCAACAAAGGCTATGCTTCTAGGCTATCTACCCCGCTTAACTCGTCCTCTAACACGCCTCGCGACAACGAAGGCCATGGATCGCATACATTATCAACAGCCGGTGGAAACATGGTACCTGGTGTAAGTGTCTTCGGTCAAGGGTATGGAACAGCAAAGGGTGGTTCACCGAAAGCAAGAGTTGCGTCGTACAAAGTTTGTTGGCCTCCGGTCAATGGTGACGAGTGCTTTGATGCAGATATACTTGCGGCTTTTGATATGGCTATTCATGACCGTGTTGATGTTTTGTCTTTGTCACTTGGTGGATCTGCTTCTACATTTTTCAATGATAGTGTTGCTATTGGATCTTTCCATGCTGCTAAGAAAGGTATTGTTGTTGTTTGTTCTGCTGGCAATAGCGGACCAAATGAGGCTACCGTAGAAAATCTAGCTCCTTGGTATATTACGGTTGGTGCTAGCACGATGGATAGAGAATTCCCTAGTTATGTTGTTCTTGGTAACAATTTAACCTTAAAAGGAGAAAGCTTATCAGCTACAAGATTAGAACACAAATTCTATCCAATTATTAAATCAACCGACGCTAAATTGGCAAGTGCAACAAATGAAGATGCGTAAGTATCAAATAACCGAATTTGACCGATGAACAAAGTACTATAATTGTAGGGAATGAAATTAATGTGATCTAATCAATAATGCAGTGTGCTTTGCCAGAATGGAACTCTGGATCCTAACAAGGTGAAGGGCAAGATAGTACTTTGCCTGAGAGGAATAAATGCAAGAGTGGACAAAGGAGAACAAGCTCTTCAAGCTGGTGCTGTGGGAATGGTCCTTGCCAATGATATCATTACTGGAAATGAAATCATAGCTGATCCTCATGTTCTTCCTGCATCTCACATAAATTTCTCCGATGGATTAAAAGTCTTTAATTACGTCAACTCATCAAAGTAAGAAATCGAGCATAATATTTTGGTTTAGCCTTTAATTTATGCAAAAACAATATAACACTTCTTAAACTTGATTATTTGGACTTAATTTTTAGGTCTCCAGTGGCTTATATTGCACATCCAACAACAAAATTGCATACTAAGCCAGCCCCTTTCATGGCGGCATTTTCCTCCAAAGGACCAAATACTATGGTGCCTGAAATTCTAAAGGTCTTAATCATCATTACTCGGAAAAACTATGTTTTCATCTAGTAATCTATTGCCATGTGCTTGATATCTAACAACTTTTGATTTAATCTTCAGCCTGATATCACTGCACCAGGAGTGTCAGTTATAGCCGCCTACACTGAAGCGGAAGGTCCGACTAACCAAGTGTTTGACTATCGTCGGATTAAATTTAACTCAATCTCCGGCACGTCAATGTCATGCCCTCACATTTCAGGCATTGCAGGCCTATTGAAAGCCTTGTACCCTTCTTGGAGTTCCGCTGCTATTAAATCAGCTATCATGACCACAGGTATTAAATTCTTTATGATACTCACACTTCTAACTCTTTCTTGCATACCAAGAAGCATTAACTTTACCATTACAGCTAATGAATCTATGTTTGAGGTAAGTAAGGATGTAAAGTTTGCATACTTACACATTGACCTTTTCTTATAATGCAAATTTAAAAAATGTAATTGTCAAATTTAAAGTTTTCATTAAGCAGATCAAAGTCAAAAAAATTCGTACAATTCAATGCTAAGAAAATCAATGTCGTGAGTCTCACGACCATATAATATTCATTTCAACATGATAATCATAATTGTTCTCTATTACTTTCAGCTACAACATTAGACAACGAGGCAGAGCCACTTCTGAATGCATCCTTCATCCAAGCAACACCGTTTAGCTATGGAGCGGGACATGTTCAACCGAACAAAGCAATGGATCCTGGGCTTGTTTATGACACAACAATGAATGATTACTTCAATCTCTTATGTTCTTTAGGCTATAATGAAACACAAAGGTCAATATTTTCAAATGCTACTTACTATTGTCATAAGAATTTCAGTCTCCTCAACTTAAACTACCCTTCAATCACTGTCCCGAATCTCTCTGGGTCAGTGACAGTTAAAAGGACGTTAAAAAATGTTGGTGCTCCCGCAACATACATCGTTCATGTTCAAAATCCAAATGGAATAACTGTTTCTGTGAAACCGAGCATATTGGAGTTCAAACATGTTGGTGAAGAAAAGAGGTTTGTGGTAAGATTGAAGGTGAAGAAAGGAAAAGCATCAAAGAGTTATGTGTTTGGGAAGATGACTTGGTCAGATGGGAAGCACTATGTTAAGAGTCCCTTAGTTGTGAAAGCTATTTAGCTAGAAATTAAAGTGATTTATCTAATTTGTATTCTAATTTATTGGTGGCTTATTCTAAATTGTATATAGCCACTTATTAAATTTTCGTGTATGGGAATTTTCTCTTACAATGATTGATAATCATAATTGTGTAAGAGAAAACAGAATAATTAAACAATGCTACTATTACCGTAGCTGGTTTTGTTTTAACTATCTATTTATCCTTATAGTCTATAGATTCCATTTTGCTATAGTCTAATGATTCAAAATAAAGTATAGTATTTAAATCTCCTGATTTGAGTGGCGGAGTGCTAACTTTTTTTTTCTTCAAGTAACCTCGCCAATCACTAGAGAACTATCACCACCGTATTGAAATCTTACTAGGGTTACCTTCATCGTCATATCAGTCATCCTCTGCTCTAATTCGGGACAATTTCATGTTTCAATATGCTTGTTTGATTCTTAGTGGATATCTAACTTTACTCCCACTCCAAGTGGAGAGGAATCTAAAAAAGGGAGTGATTTTGCTTTCCACTGCAGGAACCTTGCAATGCATCTTCTAATCTTACAAGATCCAAATCCCTGTCAATTGTATTGCTATTTTAGAAACACCAATGCTAAAGATAAAAAGTGGTTCAAAGCATATTAATGTATAACTTTATATAGAGAGAATATGAGTTTTTTTTTTACGGTATTTTCTGCTAATTATATTATTAGTTAGTATTTGCATTTTTCTTACGTATATCATGAGTCACTTAAGTTATTTAATTGTAACAGGTTGGTCCTTTAAATTTTTTTACAACAAGTTATTCCTTTAAGTTACATAATGTATATATCGTTGACCATTTTTTATGATTTTGTTTCAAAAGTACATAATTGTCCTTAACAATGCTTATATGGTTGTAATGCTGCTGAGATGGCTATAACGTTGCTCAAATGGAATTGTTTTAAATTAAACTTTAAGTAATTAGATAAAATCTCTTAATTATTAAGTAACATCCCTAAACCTAATTCCTAAATTCTAAACTGAGAAACGGAGAGGAGCTACAAACGAAGAAGGGAGATGAAACCCTAAACGTGGAGGATGGGAACTACAAAAGAAGAAGAGAGAAGAAGGATTCAAGAGAGACGAACGCATAAGCGAAGCATTGAACATTGAGGTATGTATCGTTTTTCATATCGAACATTATTTGTTTTATTGAAGTCTAGGGTTTTATGTGTTGTCCCTTATAGCTCTACTAATTTTTGCAGCGTACAACTCTCTTTTCGAAATGGATGTTTTTTATGTTGCCTTTCATCATGGGGGACAGTTTGGTGATAGGGGTACATATGTAGGAAGGGCAGTGTCAAACTGGATGTGTGATGGTGATAGATGGAGTTATTTTGAAATTTTTGGTGTTGTTAAAGAAATGGGGTATCTGATCAGTGCATCTTTATGCACATTCTCCTATATTTTTACTTAGGCATTTATTTACTTTATTTTGATTATTCTTATGTTTTATTATGTTTTTATATTTTATTTTATTTTTGGTTTAATTTGATTTTCGCACTTTATTTTTCAGCTTTAGCAGTCTGCGCGGAAACGATCATAACTGGAGTTTCGGGAATCCATTTGAGGCGTTCTGAAAATCGCCGGAAAGCTAAGAGAGAGAGAGAGCTACGACTTTCGTGTTGGAGTCGAAGTCAGATTCGGAGCATATTTTCCCAGAATATTCGTTGAAGTTACAACATTAGGAATTTGTTTTAGTTTTGGGTCATGTTTTGGGTCTGGGTTATATTTTCGACCCAGTTAGGTTTTGAACCGGATCCATTGTTTTTATTTTTAGGAGAAACCTTATTTTACTGTTAATTATACACTATTCACGGAAAAAATGGAGAGACAGTTTTTGAGGAGAACTCATGGAAAACTAATACCTCCGTGCAAATCCTGTTGTGTACGATTTCAACACTTTGAGGTTATTATAATATCAATTTAAATATGATTCCTTTCAATCATTTTCTATGAAGTCATTTGCTTAATTTGATTGCAATTGTTTGTTTAATTCAATTGTTGTTCATAGGATAGAATTGATTAAATTCGATTGTATGCATGTTCCTAAATTTAATTGCGTGTTATCGCTTGCTTAATTCGTTAATTCGTCATATTCTTAACCGTTTGCTTAATTCGGTAAATAGGAACATAATTCATTTGATGTTGGTAAGAGCTTGTCTGATTAATATCATAATTGAATAGGATTGGAGCTGTTTAGGGATTGATGTTATAATAGTCGATGATAAGTCGGAACCCGAATCAGTAGGATTAGCCGTTTTAGCTTATTTTAATAATCATTTTTTTATAGTCACTTATTTTAAGTATTTTTCTCTTAATAAAAATTCAAATCCCCATAAACTGTTATTTTATTGGTCAATCACTACAAGAATCCTTGAGAACGATATTCTGAGTTACTGTCGTTGTACTATAATTTTTACAAAAAGACTCGTTTCTGATCCGCGCGCGACAGCGGATCAGTATCCTAGGGTACTTGAAATGTGGTATAATTTTGTTGGTATATCAAAAGAGATAGTAAATGACTTTGGTGCAATAGAACTGCTAAATTAGTCCAAAACTAATGGAAAGGTAGGCCTACACATAGTCCTCCCTATTTCTCGACCTGATGCAACGTGTGTTTGTTTCTGCGTTTAGAATAGTAGAAAAACGCACGTCTAGCAAAAGCTAGTATTTGGAGCTTTAGAAAATCACAGTGAATTATGCATTGGGACGCGAAAATAAACTGTCAAACATGGATTCGAACATAGGCGTAATAGAAGTACTTGATGTCTAACCTGTACTAACTTATGTCCAACCCACTGAACAACAAACTGAGGGTTAACCTAAGATACTTGAGACCTTGCCTGAGATACCTGACACTGAGACCCTGCTAGAGATACCTGAACAAAATGCAAAAACTGTTGCGAGTGACCTTAATGAACAAAGTGATGATAGTACATTAGGGTGCAGGTTTGATGACTCTGATGGTGAAGTATTAAATGATGGAATTAATGAAGTATTGGTAGGAGTATGAGGGTTTGTTGCTGGCCAAAATGGTCAACAAGTGGATGAATTAGAAGTGGATGATTCAACTCAAGTAAAAAAGGAAGGATAGTAGACCAAAGAAAAAGAAGGTCAAAGGAAGTTCCAACAAGAAAAATGGAAGACCTAAAAAACAAAGGGTGGATGAAACCATTTCTGTAGATAATGAACCATCAAGTGAGGAAGATACACTTGATTTTGGGTTTGTTGAAGGAGTAAAGGAAAAATGGTAGATAGAGATTTGTCAGATTCAAATTATATATCTGAAGAGTTAGAAATTGATGAGGAAATGAGTAGTGATTATTGAGATGAAGGTACTAAGAAAAAATACCCATCATTTATAATGTCTAAGTTTGTGAACTATAAATGGATTTTGGATATCATGTTCTCAATAAAGGATGAGTTTAGATATCCAATTGCAAACCATGTTTTTAGTAATTGTAGAGATTTACACATTATAAAAAATGATAAGACAAGGGTTAGAGTGGGATGCAAGGAAGGGTGTGGATGGGTTGCATTATGTTCCAAATTGCCAAATGAGGATACATTGCAACTGAGAAAACTGAATGACACTCACACATGCATTATGGAGTTTAATGTAAGGATGTTTAACACTAAATGGCTTGGGAAAATGTTGTATTTAACTGTTAGAGTTAATATAGATGTGAAACTTACTACAATATATGAGAAAATGCATGAGAAATGTAATACTGGTATGAGTAGGATGAAGGCTTAAAAGGCAAGGAAGACAACACTTAATTATGTAGAAGGGTCATTTAAGGAAAAATATCTTAGATTATATGACTACACACATGAGTTGTTGAGATAAAATCCGAATAGCACAATTAAGTTGAAAGTCTAACCAATTGAACCACAAACTTGGGAAAATAAGCAACAACATGAGAACTATGTCAACAACCATTATTGCCAAGTTTTCAGAGATTATATATGTTCCTTGATGCTCGTAAGAGAATTTTTCAAGTTTGTTGACCAATCATTGGAGTTAACAAATGCTTTCTCAAGGGTCATTATGGAGGAGAAATTCTTGCAACAATAGGTAGAGACCCTAATGATCAAATGATGTCCATTTTTGTGGTTGTGGCTAAAGCAGACTAAGGACTCATGGGCTTAGTTCCTTAATGTTCTAGTTCAATATTTAGGTGGTCTATAAGTTTGCAAATAATTCACTTTCATATTAGATTAGCAAAAGGTAGAATTCACTTCCCTTGACTCATTAGCATTTTACTAACTTGAACTATATGTTTAACGTTGTTTCTATGTGTGTGTGATTTTATCTGTATTGGAAAAGTTGTTTCCAGGAGTTGACCAAAGATTATGTGTAAGACATTTGTACAACAATTTTAGAAAAAAGTTTCCTGGCAAGTAATTGAAGAAAATGATGTGAAGGGTATCCAAGACAACATATCCTCAAGCATGGAAAAGGGAAATGAAGAAAATGAGGAAGGTTAATGGAGAGGCCTACAAATACTTATTGAAGATTCCTCCTAGATTTTGGAGTAAATCTAGGTTCAATTATAATAATAAATGTGATGTGTTGGTAAACAATATGTTAGAAACATTTAATAATGTTATAATTTGATCAAGACAAAAGCCTATTGTAACAATGCTAGAGGATATAACAGGGTATCTTATGGATAGATGGGAAAAAAATATAACCAAGATTGAAGCTTATAATGGTTATGTACTTCCAAGAATTGAAAAGGTTTGGAAAGACAAACTAAAATTTCAAGGTTCTTTATGACTAGGTAATTCAAGAATCATAGCACTTATTGAAATCTCATAATTCTATTTTATGCATGCTAACTAACTCGGTGCATTTTATTTGTTACCAAGGCTTGCTGGTGAGATGATTTATGAAGTAAGGCACATAAATGTGACAGGAGATAAATTCACAGTTGAACTCAAGCAGAAGCAGTACTCTTGTAGGAGT